ATGTGTGGACTTCAACTCCCAGAATTCTGGGAGTTGAAGTCCACACATCTTAAAGTTGACAAGGTTGAAAAACACTGCATTAGGGGGATGAAAGTAGCATTGCGGCATGAGCTCTGGGCCTTGGAGTCAAGTGTGTGATGTAACACATGTACAAAAGGGGTGGAGTTTGCATGACAACACTGTGACCCAGCTTTTCTCAGTCTGAGTCCCATGGCCCCCAGTCACAGACATCATTGCTTGAAGTCATCATGCATATGTCACTGCCAGGTCTTTCTGTCTTTTCCAGAAGCCAGTAAAAGCCACATGGAGGTTTTCCAGAGATCCTCCTCTGAGGTTACAGGAAATTAGAAATATCACTGGGTATTATCAGACTACTGGTGGCCAGTTGCTCCAAAACCACATCTGATTATTTCTAGTGACTTCACATCAATATTCAATAGGACAGGAGTCAGACCAGACAATTCTTGCAGGGTTCCATAGGAAACCTTCTCAAGGCTAGCAAAACCACCTTTTGTGAGAACCCAGAGGGATTAACCATGATAAAGATAAACTGCAGTATACTGACCATCATACAATATTTGAATGCATAAGATTAAAGGATAGGCTTCTGGTTAGCATGGTAGACTTTTAAGAAATCAAGCCACACACAATAGCTTTACATAAAATTAAAATGTTTTAGGAGTAAACTTGGAAATGTGATGAGTTAGAAAAAATTGGTCCTTCTACTCCAGGTGGAGGCAATAAGGATGTTTGAAGTGCAATCCCTACAATCCTTTGCAATTGCCCACACTGGCTAGGACTGATGAAAGTTAAAATCCTCAACTTCAGCCGGTTGTGTATCCTTCATTTAGCTGAACTATAGCGATCATGGTGGAGTAGGACATGCTTGGACGAGCATCTGAATGCCTGATCTACATCAATATATGAAATTTAAAACTTAAATACATAGAGTTGAATTAATCTATTGATCAGGTTTCACGAGATTTGTTCAGTTGACTTCTTTAAATCCTTAAAAGGAAGACTAAGACAATAATATTTTTTTCTGTAGGCTTTCATAAGATTAGATTACCCAACTGTGCACAGAAAGAGATCTTTTTCAGTTTTTGACATGGATGTCCAAAAGACAATGCCCCTGACATTTCTGACGTGGGAATTCAGTGTCATGGTCTCATTTATCCCATTTCTACCCAGAATGTCTGCTCATGGAAGTGACTTGAATATGGTTCCAGAACTTTAACTTTTGAGAAGGTGGCTGCCAAAAACGCTAGAAGGCCATTTTTCGGTGACACCTCATCCCCTCCCTTCCACAGCCAGTCTCTGTTGTCTAACTTACAGGTACGTTCTTTCAGTTCCAGAATGTCATTATTGGCACAAGCCAGTTCTCGTATAAGCTGCCCATCCTCTTCGTCCTTTGCAAGCCAGCGGTCGCACTGAAAACGGAAGACCTTGTCCATAACAGAGTCCTCAATGTCGATGTATTCCAGATGCCAGCCTGGTCCAATTCCTGTCAGAACAGAAGAATCTTATTGCTTAGGAAGATGAAGCAACTTGACTACTACTGCCTACAGATAACTAGGACAGGACATGTCCCATGTCCCTTGTCCCTTTAATCAGAAGGCAAACTGGTGAGTTTTTTTTCTTATCATTTCTAACTTTTTTTTTATTTGGAGGAAATAGCACCCAAATGACTAATATGGAAACTCCAACTGTCAGGGCTAGAGAAGGCAAACTATGGTTTATGTGTGAGAAGGAGGGGGTGAGAAGTCTTTTCAAAATTTTCAAATTTTATTTTCAAAATAAACTCCTGTGCCTATACTTTAGAAAGAGTTGTCCAAAATCAAGTCCTGTATTCCGGGCACAACAATACATTTCAAGTATCTTTA